TCCAAAAGTCTTGAATAATTATTTTTTAAATCCTTTGATTAGTTTTTTTTGCAAATTGGTATAGACTCAACACTATGTCTGGTATGTGTGTAGAATATGTGTGGTACATCCTGGGTTCTTAAAGAATATTTATGATTTGTTTAAGCACTGATTTACACTTACAAATGACAGCATATAACATATTATATAATCAAAATCATATACGTTTCAAAATAGCTTGTGACAAAGATTTGTTTGCTTTTTCACTACTGCGTATTTGTACAGGAATTGATATCCTGTATTTTTTTACTTTCTCCCCTTATACATAGTATATGGAAAAAGTAAATAATTAATGTGAATGGTACTTACTAGCTTATACATTTAGAAACTTATATTCCAAATATTTACTTTTATTTGTGCATTTTAATTTCCATATTACCAGCAATTGTGCAAGAAAGTGTCCTTTTCATTTCAAAATATTTCTTAAATTTATGGATTACTGTGAAAGCCTTTTTGTCAACAATAATCAATATAGACAGCAACTGTCTGTCAGTACACCAACATTCAAAATCATCCCCTGTGAATTTTGGAAAGATATTTTCAGTCATAGATCTTCGAGACGCGTACTTGCAAATGAAAGTACATCCTGAGTCACAAAAGTATCTTACGATAGCAACTCATGTAGGCTACTTTCGCTACAAAAGGTTGCCTTTTGGGCTTTCCTCAAGTCCAGCAAAATTTCAAAGGTACATGGAAAGTTTACTTAAAATGAGTTTTAATAATTAATTATTCTATATTGGCAATAACAAGAATTGTTTTTGTAAAAATTTTCGAGTTTGAGTTTTTTTGGATTTATCCGTTTTGGGTCCTCCTGAGCCCCAAAAAGTGTTTTCGAAGTTATGTCTGTGTATGTACGTGTGGTTGTGTACAGAGCTACAGACCACACCTGTCGTCCGATTTTTATTAAATTTGGTGTGTAGGTACTAATCCATTATATCTCCAGGTTTATGTTAATCTTGATTTGTTGGCTACTCCTCATATAAATATATTTATACACAATTTACAAAAAAATGTGTAGGTATTATTCGAGTTTACTTCTAAGCCCATCGCCAGCCTCTGTTAACGACATAAGTAAATAAACTTTGGTTTATAATGTTTGTTTACAAATTAACATATGTTAGAATTATTTTAAAATTAAGTTAGTAGGAAAAAAATGTTATATATGTATATATTATGTAGATGTCACAGTTAATTTATTATTGTTTTTCCAATTTTAATTTTGTTCTCAACCTCTTCTCGAATCAAAGGTATAAACATGAAATTTAAAAGAATGAAATATAAAATGAAAAATAAAAGTATAAAAGAATCTCCAGGTTTTTTCCATTTAAAATTTTTTTTTTACGTTGATTTCCTTTATAAAACCCATGATATATAACGGAAAAATCTATAATATTTTATCGAAAAAGATCAAATTTGATCTTTGAAAGATAGGAAAGATCTCGTTTTGATCTAAAACGATTTTGATAAAAGTTTAGTATGTTATAGTCCTTTAAATTCTGAACAGAATGGTACAAATTTCATTTCCCATAAAAACTCAATTAAAAAGAAAAAATGAATTTTAGAAAAAGGCCGGTTTTGACTAAAATTAGTATGTTATGGTCCTTAATTTTGAACAAAATGGTACAGATCATATTTTCGTAAAAAGTACGGTTAAAAAATTATTGTGACTTATATCTTTACATTTAAAAAACCATGAAATAACAAAATTTTGGATTTTAGGAAAAGCCGGTTTTGATTAAAATTAATGTGCTATGTAATGGTCCTTATAATTCTAAACAAAAATAGTGCAACTGCTGTAACAATTACGGATCAAAAGTTATTGCAACTTTTACGATTTACTAGTGCACCTGTTGCTCGAATTCGAGCAATTGCAAAGTATTACATGCGTTATTTCAAAACGAATAACAGTCATAATTTCCGATGACTTAAAACAGTCAACTCAAAGATAGTGTTACTAATGGAAATACTCACGATGTACATAACCTCCTAAAGATTCAACTGTAAACAGTTTCACAACACATTAAAAAAATGGGCTACTGGATTGATATTCTAATCACTTGTTTATAAATCGAACACTCCACTCCAGTTATCGTATCTTAAAACGAACTCACTCTGAAAACGACCGCTCTTGTGTTTCATGTGTTTAGTATGAACAGCTGTAATCAATACAAATTATTCGTCTGTTTAAGTAAACAAAATATTTTCTTCATAAGAAATACATTGGGATTTCGATGACCTGTGGGGTAAAGCCCGAGGACTTTTTTACATGAATTGTTTAAAGGGGTCTACACAAAAAATACTTAATTATGACACATTGTTTGTAAAAATCCGTCCATTATTAACGGAGGAGTAGTGTTTCATAGAAATCGCCTTCACGTATTATAAGGATCCCTATAGAATATCATAGTTACTCCCACCAGGGATTAGCCAAGGATAGCTTACCCATGATAAGGATTGTTTATAGGCTAATGGGAGAAAGTATGCGTCAGTTTGCTGATACCATTTCTTTTCATTGGAATTTAGCATACGGTAATAGTTTTAATCCAACTAAAATCCCAAGATGTAATTAGTTTACTTGGAATGTCTCAGTACTCGGGGATTGAGTTTTGGTGGAGAGTGCTAAGTAAAATAATCAGTATCTGATCTGAACTATTTTCTCCTACTTGGAGTAATCTTTAGTGTACTCTTTGCTTAATAGTTACAACTTATGTTTTTCCTTTCTACTCAATTTTGTAATTTGCTAGTATACTGCGGATGGCTTTATATAAACATATATGGCAAGTCTTTTGTTACTTTTCCCTTGTTATGTTGCTCAACCCATAAGGACAATGTTAAATTTGTAAATTGTAAAATGAGCTGTGCAGAGAAATAAAAATTTTCCTTAGGTAGTGGCTGTCACTAAACACGTTTTTAAGGCCATAAGTCCCTAATACCAAAATTTAGTGAAAATCCTTGCACTGGATTTCGAGATATATATTACAGACAAACAGACATAGCTCGTATTAGAATATAGGATAGTGTTCAACTAGTGTAAAAGTTTATGTAATGTTCTATGTAGTAATCTGACAGAACCTTGTTTGATGCTTGTACGCCAGTGTAATGACAACAAGAAGAAAAACATAACATCTGATATAACAGTCGTGTTCATCTGTTGTGGCAGTTTATGTAATGTCCTGTACTGTATATTACATCTAACAGCCATGTCTGATGCTAGTATGCTAGTGTAGTGACGTCAAGTGATCTCGGTTATGTAAATCCCTCTCTGGTGGTCAAGTTCTATAAACTACCGCTCCCATTTTGTATAGTAATGTACGCAATAATATGAAATTCTGACGCATTACATGGATGCAATTAAATGGACATAAAAAATATATCAGTTATACTAAACTTAAACAATCTTTTTTCAACGGCGAGCAAAAACTGTAAGTATTAAACGGTCTGAAATATTATAAAAGTTTGTTTATCCTTCAATAAACAGAATCATTGTCGGTGAAACCCACAAAATACCTCATCGGGAAGGATTTTAAAATTTTAAACTAACCTTCGCAAATGTTTAGTGATATTTTTTTAGCTTGTTTTACACCAATGTACTCACTTTCTACACTAGTGCAAATAAATTACGTGAACAGCATGGAAAACGAATGGCGTGGTTAGCATTTATATGACGAAAACATGGATGTAATGTGTAGAAAGTAGAACAGCTAAAATGGACAAACTGACATTATGTTTGTTGTATATTCAAACTAGCAGTGTATGTACCACACAAACCGATAAAATAATATATCAAAAATGCATAAACTTTTAAAACTGATAACATGGATAAACAAATAGCATTAAACAACGAAAATGTCTGAAAACGTGGAAAACTGTATTGTTGTTTAGAAACGATGGCGGAGTAAAAAATCACGCCTTACCACATACAACGTTACAAATGTAGCTTAAAGTGTAAAAAAGTATCTAAGCTTTTCACACTTACATTTTTATCGTACTCAAAATAAAAATAATTATATCCCCTACTTCTTTGTTTATTTCTCCTTTTGGGGAGAAGCTATTACCGGTGGCGGTACAGTAAGACCTAGATCCGGGACTATCTATGAGTTCTAGTGTTATTGGGAACGTCTTGTGAATAAGACTCAAAATAGAATTTTCAAAATCTCGACGGGTATGTAGGCTATTCTACAACAAAAGTAAATCATTGGTTTCATGCCGAGATAGGTTTGACATTTTCATATGTGATTCCAGTACCTAAAGACTCAACTATTCATAGAACTGTCAAAAACATAATAAAAATGGATCTGTAAAAAACTACAAATCCTGAAACAAAAACGTAAACCTACAATACGTACTCTATTTGAGCTTGCAAAATTACAACGTTGAGTCTTATTTATGATAAATTCTACTTAAAAATTCCTCATAGATATCCATGCATCCATGCATAAAACTGAAATAGAGATAACAACATATAAACTGGTTTTGTAGTTAACAGGAGTTTCACTGTAGTTGTATTAGGTTAAGTTGAGTATGTACTTAAGTTGCGTTGAAAAACCCCCTCTTGTATACTTAGATTCCAAATTTGTGTTTTTTTAATACAATTTTCACTTAAAACATGTAAATGTCCAATATTCATTTACAGTCATCGTGTAAGCCTTGCAAAACAACTAGTGTTGTAGGTTGAAGCGTTAAATTCCTGTAGTGTTAAGTTACTGAAAGAAACCCAAAATGCTTAACATATACAGTTCCTTCTTCTCATGTAGGAAGAGGAAACTGTTAGTTGTAGTTTTCTTGTTTATGGATGTAGGCCTATCATGATCAAATTTAGATTAATGTACCTATTTTACTTTTAACTTAAAAAATTTCCTTCTCTGTATCAGAAAATCTAGTTACCAGTCAAACATGTGTTATTTAAATTTAAAAATAGTACATACAAAAAAATAACAAACAAAAAACAGAATATCCCAAGGATGTATTTTACTAAAGATCCAAGCGGACAAATAGGACATTTGCTCAGTCAGAGGTTCTTCCGCATAAAAGTATTATTTTAGTTTCAATGATAAATGCATATTCTCTGATAATGCATTTCTTTAGTAATAATGAAGTGGATTTATTGACGACATTCATTTTGGCTCGATTTTCACAATACATTTTTGACATTTATGTAATAACCACATTCAAAAAGTTTCTCAAGAACAAAGCTCTAGGCCTAAGTTGTGGTTTGTCAATGTAAAGCTGTTGTTTGCCATTACCACCTCTCTGGTTCCTGAGGTTTATCAAACTGTTGCCACTCAGTTGGAGTGGGTGGCGGCTGTACCTCCCACTGGTATATGTCTTCGCCGGGCACTGGGTTGCCATCGAGACCCTTGAACTTGTCCTCTTCAGATGACTCAGATGATGAACTGTCTTTGCCAGGTTTCTCAGGTAGATGCGTTCGAACTGTGTTCTTGATGACACGGCTCTCGTGCTCCTCAGTCATTCGTTTGAAACTTTGCTGCATTTCATCTCTGGTAGAATAGCAGCCCTGAATTCCAAATATACATTTACTTCTTAACAATCAGAAATTTTTTTTTGTAAAATTAAGTTAATTGATATTACGAGGTCTTACCCTAGCATCCCTAATGTTGCTATGCATTAAGATTGCTAAGGTAAGACCTCATAATATCAATTGCATTAAGGCTAAGCAATTAAGAGATTAATCATTTTTTTTAGTTATTTAATGAAATTGCTTGGTTTTCGTTAGTTGAATTACACTTTTGAAAATAAAGTATCACATGCCCACCCTGTGTTTTATTAGAATGTCGGTATGAAAAACCCTTTTCTCTATGTTAGTGTTTTAGAATTTACTATGTATATACAAAATGTAAGAATTTCTTCCATTTCAAAATCTGGTGGCTACGTTTTTTGCTGGTTTAGTGTAAATAGTTATTTGCTAAACGTTTAAGTGAAGATTTGATTGATAGGGGTTTATCGTTGACATCGTTATGTGTGAATGAGCAACATTATGGTACGTGAAACAAGTATTTTCCTACAGTCACCCGACAAAGTTGGCTTCCTTGTACTGTTTATAGTACAGAAAGCTGCTAATTGCTGCATATTTATACTTTGCCGTACGGTTTATACTTTGTCGTACGGTTTATACTTTGCCGCACATCAGGATTCCAACGATCCAACACAAAACAGCGTGGTTCTATTATGCACGTAATCCTTGTACGCTTGGAAATAGGTTGGCAACACTTAAAGATAATAATACTATGAGCAGCTGATTGACTATTATGACTACGATTTAACCTGTCATTTCGTGTTTATCGTTTCGGTATTTCTGAACTTTCTGGACTTTTCTTTTAAACGTTTTTAAAACATTCCTACGATCTTAATAAACAAGAAAATACCTTTAAAGCATTTTTTTTAGGCGCGGAAACCACTTCAAATTACAAAAACATACGGAACTATATTCTCAAAACGCGGAGCACATTTCTTGCCGAGGAAAAATAGCGGAGTGATACGGACCGCGGGTACTACTTTCTCTAGGGCACCATTTGTGTTGCCAGCTGAACCTAAAAACGTGTTGTATAGTGTTTGAAAGACTAATTATTTATATGCTTTATAGTGACTGTAGGAAAAATATAATGTGCAACACGAGTGAAAAAGGCCTTTGCTGCACTCGAGATCATTCCACACTCGCCTGCGGCTCGTGCGTAAACATTGCTCTCGTGTGCAGCAAAGTGCCACTTTCACCACTAGTTACACAAATAACTATTTCTCCTCACTGTACCTCCTCAAATATTGACTAACTGTGCTTAAATGCTAAGATCATGCTTAATTTTCAGCCCCCTTTAGGTGACAAATTAATTGATTAAGAGACATTAAAATAGGATTTTTCTATAATATGAATAGTAATACCCCCGTCACAGCAAACCTGCAGACTAAGCCAATTCCCATTTCCCTGATTTTATTTTCACTTAAATCTATTTAAATAACATCTAGGTTTAACGAGTAAAAAGGTTTGCTGATACAGGGAGCGTTATAAAGTGTGTTTGTTCAAAAGTAATAATAGCTTGGTATAAAATAAAGACATTTGCCAAGTTTGATAAAAATATATCCATAAACGAGCGAACTACAACATTGTACAATATTCTCCAAGAAGAATAACATGGGATTTTTAAATTTACAATATTTTTTCTTATTCTCCGTATGTTCACATACATTGGAATTCACACTAACATTGGAATTCTGAATTTACAAATTGATCGAGTTTTCTCCGTAACTTATTAGAGTTAATAAAATCAAAACATATAAGTAAGAATCTAAACATAACGATTAAAACCAAAATCAGTCATTGTTTGGTACAACTTACCTGCACTCGAGCTATCGTAAGTATGAAAACACAAAACCCCAGACATAAGGAGAACTTAATAATCATGACTAAACCCTAAATATGAGAGTACATTAGGTATACACGTAGACTCGTGGAATTTATGAACCCGCATTAATGTCGTTTAACACCAAATAGCCCCGCCCACCACCGTCTGTATGCTAGGCATCATTGTAAACACCTGTTAAGTTACGCAACACGAAATCGTTCACATGTTGGCGTAATGTTATGCTAGACCTGAACTGTAAAAGCGTCTACCAATCCAACTCAAAATCGATTTATTGAATTACAGTCGTAATATTGATTGTTTAAAGTTAGTCCGAAGTACTTTAAAAATATCATTTTCCTACAGTTACCTAACAATGTACATGTTCTCTCACTGATTTGAGAAAGCAAAGTGGCCAATTCGCTCATCAGTGAGACAATGTTAACATTGTCTCACTCTAATTACTTTGTCTCACTCCAGATTTGCAACGTGAAGGCACGAAATAGTGAGCGCGTAACATGCAGGCAACGTCGTATGCGCGCGAAATACGTTGGCAGCACTGGCTGTAAATCAGCTGGTCAGCTGTTGTACTGTTGTATTTGTCACTTCACATTAAATGCTATATTAAAAGTTCACTTCTGTGTAAAAATAGGTTATATTTCTTCACCAATTTATTTGTTTTATGGTAACTGTAGGAAAAGTATAATGTGCAACTCGAGTTCAAAGTACAATTGCCTTACTCGAGAAACCATTCCTCACTCGCCTACTGCTCGTGAGTAAGGATTTCTCTCGAGTGAGTCAATTGCTCACTTTTCTCACTAGTTGCACAAATAACTATTTCTGGCAACAGTGGATGTAAATCAAGATTTCGATTGCGTAGTCTTTCCATCTTCCAGTTTTTAGTATTTATTTAGAGTTAACTACAGTTTTATTGAAAACCCACCTTTATAAGTTTGTGCTATTGGAGTGATATAAAATATTTATGATTATAATTGCAAAACACCAATACATTAATTTATAAAATGGGAAAAATGAAAGTTTTTACATTCTATGTAATAAACGTTTATGTAAGTACAACAAGCAATATGGGTTTTTTATGATTGCCAAATGGTAAAACGGAAATAACATTAAAATTGTTTCAGAAAATGTCTTTTCAATACATAGTGTCATCTCAAAAGGTAGTCTAAATTACATTAGCGCTAATCGAAAAATATATGTTTTGATCTTCTAAAGTCTGCTCAGTAAATCCTTATCATTATGTTATATAAGGATACCTGGTTATGACATGACCTAAATTATCTTTTATGGTGCCATTAACAAGAGTAATTTTATCCACAAGACTTCTTTAAATCTATAGGCCCCTAAACTGTATTGAGTCCTATATGGAATTCCAACTGATAAATAAGCTTCCTGGTATTGGTTTATATTTTGGTTATAGTTGCCTATAGGCTATTTATTAGATTATACTTTTAATATTTTTACAAAAAACTAAATTATTCAATAGTTTTAGCCTATATTAAGCAAGGTTATATTCGAGAAAATGTACTTTCCCATTACATTGAATACCTTTTGTAGCCTGAGCACGTGTACGCAGAGCCCTAAAACCAAGGCCCAGGGCGTGTAAACTAGGGTGTTTACTGCCTGCTTTCCACAACATTTATAAAAAACCAACCTGTTTTTTTCCAAACAACTAACAGTTTCTACGCAAGTTCTAAACCCGGATACTTCATCATCTAACCATTAATGATGCTATGTATAAAAGTTAAATTTTAAATATAAACGAGAAGTAGATCTTCCACGTACCAAAATACTCCCACTGCAGCAAACCTATAGAATAAGCCATTTTTTGCTTGTTTTATTGGATTTTTACAATAATTTTTCCATGAACAAGTCATATTTATTTTCCATTATTAATATTGGCTATTACAAATACTGTTGTTTGCTGCTACGGGGAGGTAAATACCCACTCCACAGCAAACCTGCAGACTTAGCAAATTTCCACTTGTCTTATTTGATTTTCAATTAATTCTATTTCTATAACATTAGGTTGAACGAGTACCTGGGTTTGCCGCTATAGGGAGGGTAATAAAGTGTGTTTTTTAGAAAAATATTCATCGTTGACTGTAATAACCACTGTAGTATTTTATGTGTATCTGTATTTAGTGGAATAACATTGTCCAATGTTTTCTAAGTACAAATTTTGTGTAAAATTCCAACATCATAAAGACAATATTTTTCATAAATTCAATCCACGATATATCACTGTTAAATAATAATATTCTACCGCATTTAATATTATTTTGTGTTTTGTAACCGCACAAATTGAAGGTTCAGACCAAGGGTGAACGGGTCAATACTGCGATACTACATACCTTCTAACTTTACGACGTATGTGCTCAGGATTCAGAGAGCTCGAGTACGTGGTGAAAATTGCACTTTTTCTGGAATATTCTTAGAATCACATTCTAAGAAATCAATCTTAATAGGAAGTCAATTTCTGATATTCTTGGATTTGTCTCGCCTTAAAATCTTTCCTCGATGTAATTAGGCCTACAGGGTGTCTCACGTAGAGAATTAATAGCTAGATTTGTTATTACGAGAAATAGAGTTAACTTCTTATGAAGCACAGACATTTATTTTTAATATGTTTTTGGGATTGTAAAGAATTTTAAAATGATGTCCACCATTTTCCAATATAGCCGACAACTTTGTTAATTTTTAAGGAACAACCTGTACTTTATGATTGATTTTGAATGGAAATGCGATTTAAAAAAGGGTTTAAACTTGTATTCTTTTTTGTTCTTAAAATTGAATCTAAATTTTATAAAGAAGTTTTTTAAATATTAAGGTTAGCTGCTGTTATGGAAAATGCTGGCAATTTTTGAAACAATGGAATCACTATTTAAAACGTATTTTATAATTTTCTAGAATTAAGATACAGTTTTTAGGTTCGTTCTTTTTATTTCATTCCTTGCATTTTCTCCCTGAACTTGTTAGTTTATTCAACGATTTATTGTTCACTACAGAACGCAACGTGTACACCACAAGCCATTTTTCTTAGGTTATATTTTAAAACAATCATAAAATACAGAGTGTTCCATAAGAAATAACAAAGTTGTCGGCCATATTGGGAAATGGTGGACATACCTTTAAAATTCGATACCATCCCAAAAACCATCTTAAAAATAAAAGGGAGTGAGAAGTTTACTTTATTCCTCATAATAAAAGGTTAGATATACAACTACAAAAAACTAAATGTTACGAATGTTAGTGTATTGGTTTACTTCAGGTGAGACAACCTCAACAACCTATGGTACACAGCAGACCAAATTGTATGGCGATATAAGAAGAAAAACATACATTTAAACACAATACTTAGCATTTACTTTAGCATTGGTATTAGTTAATTACTTACTAATTACTACTTAATGTCATAAAAAAATAATTAATGGGCGCGTAAACCTATTATACGAGTATATGTTTCTCATGTTAGTTTCTATTTTAATGATAGTAATCAAGAAATGATCATTTTTCACTGTTGTGTCTTAACTTGTCCAGTACAATGTGTTTTATAATGTTGTGAATTTATGATCTGTATGTAGATGAACGGCTGTCTAATCCTGTCACTTTTGATCTAGACACGCGAGCCTAGTTCATTAATACAATTTTTTCATTTCCTGTGTCCCGGTGATCTGGGGTTAATATTATATTGTATGGACACCTAAAAATGGAGAGTGATTGGTATTTTATGCCAGGATTATAGTGCAAAATCATGTCCACAAAAAACATATTCAGTATTTCAAGTTTTACACTAACCTGACATTTTCAACGGTGTTTGTTTCAACTATTCGACAAGGCTACATTTGTGAGTGAAAAATTATATTTAAATAACAATGTCAAATGATACATGGTTCAATAAATGTGATTATTAAAATTCCACACAGGTACACGAGTGATTACGAATAGACAGGATGGGATGTTGAATGATTAAAATATGAATGAAGAAGAATATTTGTCCATTCTCATTCCCAATAGTATTCTTAAATTATAAAATGTTTACAATTTAGTCTTTACTATTGTTTGCTATGGTTGTTAAAATGGTTTGTTATAAATACAAAATATACAAGGGATTATTGCTCTGTAAAGAAAAGATATTCATCAGGATGACATATCAAACTTTTTTGAAACAATATGGAATATGTAATATCAATACATTTGTTCTTGTTTGTTTGGTTGTGCCAATCAATTCCTTTGAAAAAAAAAAACAATAAAAAAATTGTATTCGATCTTTATTAAATGTTTATTGATTCATATTATTTACAAATACAATATTAGTTGGACCACAATTTCTGTATTTTTATGAAATAAAACCCACATTCCGTTGCGTATGTACTGTCTGATAAATCAAATCCGGCGAGGCAAGCCACGAGGTTGTGATTTCCCTATGGCATCACACATCATTGTACAGTACAAACCTATCACTGATGTCTTGTTTTCCTATAAAATAATGATGATTGTTAGATACCTCAAACTAAAGGCTAAAGAGCCCAAAGATAAATAGGCCTACATATAAAAACGTAGCAATTACTGTTTGTTGGTATACAATTAGCTTCCAGTGAAGGTTTGACCAAATGGAGTCTTAGGCCAAGCATTGTTTAAGTCAGTTATTAGGAAGTCACAGCATGCGTGTGCTTATTACCACACTTAGCATATCCGAAGGAATGAACTACCTCAGGGAAATTATGTCTCGTAAACACATTACCAGGATATTTGAAAACTTAAACTATGCTGTTGGGCAAATTATTAAAATTTTAAAATAGTTTACAACAACAATATGAAATTACTATGCTTTAATTTAACCGTAATAAAAATCCTTAATTAATAATAAATATGTCAAAGAAGTGGTATTATGTACTTAACATTGTTAGAAATTGGTTTATTTCATATAATGAAAATGTGTACCTACATACTTTGGAGAAACCATTTTTCATTTAAAGAGTCATTTCACATTATTTTATTTGATGATTTACTTGTGGATTAGGCCTTATGATGTTTCCAAAAGAGACTTATGTAAAATTAGATCTCTGTTTTAAGAATCTCAACTTAAATTTAGATTCGTGAGCCAATAGCTTAAAAGATTTCACTAAGCTAT